TGTCACTGTTGTGACCTTACCCATCCCGCCGTCCTCCTTCATCATCGCTTGGGTCATCCCAACTTTGCCACCCTCCGTCAACCTGTCTTCTCTCAACTTCTTAAAGGACTCCCCCTCACCCTTTCCCCCTCTCCTCCCGTCGCCCTCCCCTCCCTTCTCAGTATGCGTTGAAAGCAAACTGAAGCAAGCTCCCCACAAGAGTTATCCCTCTTTCTCTCCCCAGCCCATTGACCTCGTCCACATGGACCTCTGAGGCCCCAATCCCTCCCCCACCAAGCAAGGTCATCGCTACCTGCTCATACTGGTGGATGACCACAGTCGGCACTCCACCGTCTCCCTCCTTCGCAAGAAAGCGGAGGCCCCGGCTGCCATTATTGCTTGGGCTGAACAAGCACGCACCCATTTCAAACGCCCTGTCTCCCGTTTCCACTCAGATGGCGGTGGTGAGTTCTTGAACCGTATGCTCTCCTCCTACTGCACCACTCATGACATTATCCACACCTACACCCTCATTCCCCTCAACAGAATGGCGTGGCAGAGAGCAGGGTCCGCGAGGTCACCAAGACTGCTCGGTGCCTCATGGTCCATGCCTCCTGCCCGCCCTCTCTTTGGGGTTATGCCATCCTCCACTTTGCCATCCTCACTAACCTCTACCCCCATCCCTCCCGGCCCACCACCACTCCCACCGCACTATGGACCTCCACAAACCCCGACATCTCCCCCCTGCGCGTGCGGGGTTCCAAGGCGTATGTACTCATACACCCTGACGACCGCTCACGCAAAGCTAAGAAGCTTGCCTCCCGCACCCTCCCCTGCATTTTCATTGGTCACAACACATCCTCCCCGGACTAACTTTTCCTCCATCCCCCCTCAGGACGCCTCACTCGTAGTCGGGATGTGGTATTTGATGAGGCCAACCCATACTATACCGCCCCCTCTGCCCTTAACCCCCTCCCTCTGACCACCCGTCCCCTTCTCTGGACTGACACCGCCCCCCCCCCCTCCTCTCCCCTCCCCTTCCCTTCTCCCCCCTCCCCACCATTGTTCTCCCTGCACCCCCACCCCCTCCCCCCTCTCTCCCAGCCTCGTCAGAAGATATCCTTGACCCGGCTGCCCCTCCCTCCCCTTCCGCTGTCCCTCCCCCTCCCCCCGCTGCCCCTCCTTCCCCCCCCGCTGCCCCTCCCCCTCCCTCCCCACCCCCTCCCCCTCTGAACCCTCCCCCACTCCCTCTCCCCTCACAACCTCCACCACCTCCCCCCCCCTTACTTCCTCTCCCACCCCCTCCCCCTCCGCCATCCCGGCCCCTGCTCCCCTCCCCTCCCCTCCTCCTTCGTCACTACCCTCACACACGCTCCACGGTCCCCATTCTTGGTGCACGACGGTCCCACTCCCCCTCCCTCCAGTCCCTCTCAACCATTCCCCTTCTCCGCCACTCTAGCACCTCCCCTCTTCCCCGCACCAGCCCTTCAGGTTCTCACAGCAGCTGCGCTCCCGTCTCTTTGCCCCTCACGGCAACTCAGCACAGCCGAGCAGTAATGCAATTGTCTCCCCGCCCCGACCCTCAGCACAGCAGAGCAACAGTGCAGCTGTGTCCCCGCCCCGGCTCGACCCTCCAGCGCAGCTGTCTTGCAACTCCACCGCCTCCTCTTCCTCCTCCGCTCTCTCCGGACCTCTACGAAGACTCTCACGATGAGCTCCTTTTCCTCCACCTCCTATCACCCACCATCGCCCCCGTCGTCTGCACCATGGCTGGCACTACAGTCCTTCTCTTCTCCAACACCCCCACCATCTACGAACCCACCACCTACGAGCAAGCACTTGCCTGTCTTGACGCACCTCTCTGGATTTAGGCCATGGTCAAGGAGAGCAACGCATTCATCCGCAACCGCTCTTTCCTCGACGTCCCTCGTCCCTCTAAGAACAACGTGATCAAAGGCAGGTGGCTCTTCCGAGTAAAAGTACTCCCTGGTGACGCTCCTGTCTACAAGGCTCGGTATGTCGCGAAAGGCTTCACACAGACCTACGGCTCAGACTTCTTCGAGACCTACTCACCCACCGCCACTCCGCCGGTCGTTCGCGTGTTCCTGGACTTTGTTGGCAGACGCGTGATGCTCCTTCACTCCATGGACATCACCACGGCCTTCTTGCAAGGCGACCTCCACGAACTTATCTTTCGGGAACGTCCCAAGGGCTTTCACGCTCCACACGATCCTGCCACAGTCTGGAAGCTCCTGCGACCTGTCTACGGACTCAAACAGGCACCTCGAAAATGACACGCCAAGCTCTCATCCACCCTTCGCGCACTTGGCTTTCGCCCCTCCCGGGCTGCCTCCTGCCTCTTCCTCCGCCTCACCCCGTCCCCCTTCTACATCCTCGTCTACGTCAACGACGTGCTGTTGGCCGCTGACATAGCTGCTGAACTTCAGGAGGTCAAGGATGAGCTGCAGCAATGCCTCGCCTGCAAAGACCTGGGGGAAGTACGAAACTACCTCAGCATGGAGATCACCCGCGACCTCACTGCCAAGACCATCACCCTCTCTCAGTCTTTTTACATTGGGAAGATTCTTGAGAGGTTTGGCATGGCCAAATCCAAACCCATCCCCACACCACTTGCATTCGGGCATCGGTTTTCCCCTCCCGCCACTCCCGTCACCTCCCCTCATCCCTATGCAGAACTCGTTGGGGCCCTGATGTACGCCATGGTCTGCACTCGTCTCGACCTCGCATACCTAGTCAGTGTCTTAGCGCGGTTCGTTGGCACCGGCAGGCATGGTGAGGATCACTGGAAGGCGACCATGCACGAAGGACTATGCCCTCACTCTTGGTGGTATGGACCCACCTGTTCTTCAAGGCTTCAGCGACTCATCTTAAGCAGACGCACAGCCCGACCATCGCAACTCTCAAGGATATGGCTTTTCCCTCGGGAGCGGCCTCATCAGCTGGCGCTCCACCCGCTCCTCCTCCGTCGCCCTCTCCTCCTGCGAAGCCGAGCTGTACGCAGTCACGATGGCGGCTCAAGAGGTACGCTAGCTCAGCTATCTGCTCACCGGCCTTGGCTCACCACAGCCCTGCCCCACCCTGTGGTGTGACAACGACAGTACCATCCACCTCACCAAGGAGGCCGTCTTTCATGGTCGCTCCAAACACATCGAGCTTCGTTACTACTTTGTCCGCGACCTTGTACAAGATGGTCACCTCACTCTTCGCAAAATCGACTCGTCCGCCAACCTCGCCGACCTCTTCACCAAGGCTCTCCACTGCTCTAACCACTGTGCGCTCCCGCGCCTTCAGAGACTTGCTCCCCGCGGTGGCTGACTCAAGGGTTGTTGCGTTCTCTCTTCCAAAGCTTATGGATTTCTGCAGGTTAAGGGGTTGTGTCTGATTATCATCTTCATTGTAACCTATATCTATCCTATAAGCTTTGGCTAGAGATAGGCACCCAAACCTAGTTTGGGTGCACAACTAGGGTTAACCCTAGTTTGAGGTTGGAACCCAACCTTGGCCCAATTATTGGGCCCCCAAGGTTCGGTTGGGAGATTATTGGGCCATTCAATAATGTTGACCCACTTTGGTCAACATTATTGCTCCCCCCAATAACTCCTCAACCCAACTTATTGGTGGGGGCCAATAATGTTGGCAAGGTTCCTCCATCCTAGCTTAACTATATAAACCCATGCATCTCCTAATCAATCTATCGGTTCTTCTTCAATCTTTCTTACATACCTGGTGTTGAAAAGGGGGTGAAATGGAGAGAGGAGTTGCAGAGGCTGTGGATAACAAATGGCAAAAGCTTAGAAACTCACTTATGCGCTTTCCCTGGATTTGATGCACATGTGACGACTTTTGAGGCGCCTCAAAGCCCGAGTCCCAAATTGCCAAGCGCGTGGGTCATGCTTTTAAAACTTGACGAAGTGCAGTGTGCAAGCTTTGAAAAGTAGCGCACCTGCAATTTGGGACTTTTGAGGACTGACCCAACCCCCAGGGCGAAATACGAGGGCTGGCTGGGTTTGGCGAAAACAACGACTTTCACGAAATCGGAATCACTCGCCAAAACCCATACCAGAAAAACCCCCTCTCGTCAAATTTTTAAAACTTGTGCAATTTGGGCTTCCGGTTTTAAAAGAAGTCACTTATGTGTGTTCCTTGGATTTGGTGCACGTGTCGGTGTTCGGTTCACTTCACGTTGAACCCTAAACCGTAAATGTTAAACTTCAAACCCTTTGAGTTGAGTTGAGACTTACTGATTTGAGTGCAGACGTGCATTGCTCGCAGAACTGCAGCACGAGGTAGTAGCCATCTGCACATGAGGAGCATATGCTGCATGCAACACACAGCATAGCACAGCATGCACAACACACAGCAAGCACAGCACAGCACAGCACAGCACAGCACAGCGCGCACAGAACAGCAAAAGCAAGCAAGCACAGCAGACGACGAGGTAGGGCAGAAAGAAGCGATGAGCAGAAGAAGGGGCTTGCCTCACAGCAGAACTGCAGCACTGCAGCACAAGGTTGTTGGTGTCAGCACATGATGAGGAGCAGAGGGGAATAAGTGACCCCAATCAAGTAAGAAGGAGATCGAGGCTGGCTGAGATCACAGATCGCAGGCATCATGATGGCTTTTGAGGTGCCAGCCATCAAAATGGAAAATGAGGAGCCTCAAAAGCTGAGATCGCAGCTCGCAGACCGGGTTACTTGTAAGAATCGGCAGCATTGCTTAACGATACCGCACACTCATGTAGCAGTCTGCTGCACTCACTCACGGCATGGTGTTGTTGTATCCCACGGCACACTGCGTGGTGTTGGGGCCTGTGTAGGTGGTGCCAGAGCAGGAAACCCTTCAGTGCAGTCATTTCCCCACCACTACCCAGGCACTCATGGCATGGTGGTGTTGTTGTATCCCACGGCACACTGGGTCGTGTTGGGGCCTGTGTAGGTGGACCATCTAACCCCTGAATGCATTCACTCACTACCCCTCACCGCTCCCACTACCCCAGAAACTCACGGCACGGTGTTATTGTATCCCACAGCACACTGCGTGGTGTTGGGGCCTGTGTAGGTGGTGCCAGAGCAGCCGTTGGTGAGCAGGCACGCATAGGTGGTTGGCGTGGAGTTGACAGATGCTGGGTCCAGCCAGTTCTGGTACTCGATCTGAGGGGAGGAGCGAGGGTTAGGAAAATGAGGAGTGGGAAAGGGGAGAGGAAGGGAGGTTGTTGGAGCAACCGTTGGTGAGCAGACACGCATAGGTGGTGGGCGTGGAGTTGAGCGACGCTGGGTCCAGCCAGTTCTGGTACTGGATCTGCAGGGGAGGGGGAGTGCGAGGGGAGGGTGTAAGAGAAGAATTATCCTTCCATTATAATCCTCCCGAATTTCACACACTACCCCATTCACATGCACGCACCTCCAGCGTGCCATAGCGGCAGTCCAAGCTGCCATAGCGGCAGTCCAAGCTGCCATAGCGGCAGTCCAAGCTGCCATAGCGGCAGTCCAAGCTGTCATAGCGGCAGTCCAAGCTGCCATAGCGGCAGTCCAAGCTGCCATAGCGGCAGTCCAAGCTGCCAGCAGTCCAAGCTGCCATAGCGGCAGTCCAAGCTGTCATAGCGGCAGTCCAAGCTGCCATAGCGGCAGTCCAAGCTGCCATAGCGGCAGTCCAAGCTGCCATAGCGGCAGTCCAAGCTGCCATAGCGGCAGTCCAAGCTGCCATAGCGGCAGTCCAAGCAGCCATAGCGGCAGTCCAAGCTGCCATAGCGGCAGTCCAAGCTGCCATAGCGGCAGTCCAAGCTGCCATAGCGGCAGTCCAAGCTGTCATAGCGGCAGTCCAAGCTGCCATAGCGGCAGTCCAAGCTGCCATAGCGGCAGTCCAAGCTGCCATAGCGGCAGTCCAAGCTGCCATAGCGGCAGTCCAAGCTGCCATAGCGGCAGTCCAAGCTGTCATAGCGGCAGTCGAAGCTGCCATAGCGGCAGTCCAAGCTGCCATAGCGGCAGTCCAAGCTGCCATAGCGGCAGTCCAAGCTGCCATAGCGGCAGTCCAAGCTGCCATAGCGGCAGTCCAAGCTGCCATAGCGGCAGTCCAAGCTGCCATAGCGGCAGTCCAAGCTGCCATAGCGGCAGTCCAAGCTGCCATAGCGGCAGTCCAAGCTGCCATAGCGGCAGTCCAAGCTGTCATAGCGGCAGTCCAAGCTGTCATAGCGGCAGTCCAAGCTGCCATAGCGGCAGTCCAAGCTGTCATAGCGGCAGTCCAAGCTGTCATAGCGGCAGTCCAAGCTGGCATAGCGGCAGTCCAAGCTGTCATAGCGGCAGTCCAAGCTGTCATAGCGGCAGTCCAAGCTGTCATAGCGGCAGTCCAAGCTGTCATAGCGGCAGTCCAAGCTGTCATAGCGGCAGTCCAAGCTGTCATAGCGGCAGTCCAAGCTGTCATAGCGGCAGTCCAAGCTGTCATAGCGGCAGTCCAAGCTGTCATAGCGGCAGTCCAAGCTGTCATAGCGGCAGTCCAAGCTGTCATAGCGGCAGTCCAAGCTGTCATAGCGGCAGTCCAAGCTGTCATAGCGGCAGTCCAAGCTGTCATAGCGGCAGTCCAAGCTGCCATAGCGGCAGTCCAAGCTGCCATAGCGGCAGTCCAAGCTGTCATTGCAGCAGTCCAAGCTGCCATATCGGCAGTCCAAGCTGTCATAGCGGCAGTCCAAGCTGTCATAGCGGCAGTCCAAGCTGTCATAGCGGCAGTCCAAGCTGTCATAGCGGCAGTCCAAGCTGTCATAGCGGCAGTCCAAGCTGTCATAGCGGCAGTCCAAGCTGTCATAGCGGCAGTCCAAGCTGCCATAGCGGCAGTCCAAGCTGCCATAGCGGCAGTCCAAGCTGTCATTGCGGCAGTCCAAGCTGCCATATCGGCAGTCCAAGCTGTCATAGCGGCAGTCCAAGCTGTCATAGCGGCAGTCCAAGCTGTCATAGCGGCAGTCCAAGCTGTCATAGCGGCAGTCCAAGCTGTCATAGCGGCAGTCCAAGCTGTCATAGCGGCAGTCCAAGCTGTCATAGCGGCAGTCCAAGCTGTCATAGCGGCAGTCCAAGCTGTCATAGCGGCAGTCCAAGCTGTCATAGCGGCAGTCCAAGCTGTCATAGCGGCAGTCCAAGCTGCCATAGCGGCAGTCCAAGCTGCCATAGCGGCAGTCCAAGCTGTCATTGCGGCAGTCCAAGCTGCCATATCGGCAGTCCAAGCTGTCATAGCGGCAGTCCAAGCTGTCATAGCGGCAGTCCAAGCTGTCATAGCGGCAGTCCAAGCTGTCATAGCGGCAGTCCAAGCTGTCATAGCGGCAGTCCAAGCTGTCATAGCGGCAGTCCAAGCTGTCATAGCGGCAGTCCAAGCTGTCATAGCGGCAGTCCAAGCTGTCATAGCGGCAGTCCAAGCTGTCATAGCGGCAGTCCAAGCTGTCATAGCGGCAGTCCAAGCTGTCATAGCGGCAGTCCAAGCTGTCATAGCGGTAGTCCAAGCTGTCATAGCGGCAGTCCAAGCTGTCATAGCGGCAGTCCAAGCTGCCATAGCGGCAGTCCAAGCTGTTAGAATCTATATATTTTAGCATGCGAACACTTGTGACTGTACACCAAGAGTGGTGTACAGTTGGGTTGGTTCAGGCCCTAGTTTTGGGTGTACTGCGGGAAGACACCCTAATTGGGGTGAACCCAAATATCCTAGCTTAGACTTGACTCCAACCTTGTTGGCCAAGTGGGGCAACCAACTTTGGTTGGTTGGCCACCATCCCACTAGGGTTGGTTGGATGGTCCTTCCTCCCACTAGCCTACTTGGTCTTGGTGTCTTATGTGCTAGGTTTGGTGTTCCTCTCCAACCTTCTCTTCCTTGTATAACCTTGTGCTCTCTTGAGCTAGTGTTAACAATTCTTCCTCAAGTTTCCATAGCTCCTAGTTTCTTTCATGGTATTCAGAGCCTAAGGCAAACGCCCTAGATCCTAGGCCTACTCAACAAGTATTACCTTTTTTTTTTACATCTCCCACCTTCTCGTCGCGTAATTCCTTCCTTCAGTCGCGCCGGTCAAGTTCAACGTGCGAAATCCTTCCCTGCAGTCCGCACGACCACATTTCACCGTGCGAAATCCTTCCCTGCAGTCCGCACGGCCACATTTCACCGTGCGAAATCCTTCCTTGCAGTCCGCACGGCCACATTTCACCGTGCGAAATCCTTCCCTGCAGTCCGCACGGCCACATTTCACCGTGCGAAATCCTTCCCTGCAGTCCGCACGGCCACATTTCACCGTGCGAAATCCTTCCCTGCAGTCGCACGGCCACATTTCACCGTGCGAAATCCTTCCCTGCAGTCCGCACGGCCACATTTCACCGTGCGAAATCCTTCCCTGCAGTCCGCACGGCCACATTTCACCGTGCGAAATCCTTCCCTGCAGTCCGCACGGCCACATTTCACCGTGCGAAATCCTTCCCTGCAGTCGCACGGCCACATTTCACCGTGCGAAATCCTTCCCTGGAGTCGCACGGCTTCATTTGTCCGTCGCGAAGTACCTCCCTGCAGTCGCACGGCTTCATTTGACCGTCGCGAAGTACCTCCCTGCAATCGCACGGCTCTGTTAGACCGTCGCGTCACCTCTGCAGGCAGCCGCGGAGACCCCTCTGACCGTCGCGTCACCTCTGCAGGCAGCCGCGGAGACCCCTCTGACCGTCGCGTCACCTCTGCAGTCAGCCGCTGAGACCCCTCTGACCGTCGAGCAGCAGCGTGACTGGCCACCAGCGGCAGCGGGACTAGACAACAACAGCAGCGTGACTGGACAGCAGCAGCAGCGTGATTGGACAGCAGCAGCAGCAGCGTGACTGGACAGCAGCAGCAGCGTGACTGGACAGCAGCAGCAGCAGCGTGACTGGACAGCAGCAGCAGCGTGACTGGACAGCAGCAGCAGCAGCGTGACTGGACAGCAGCAGCAGCGGGACTGGACAGCAGCAGCAGCAGCGGGACTGGACAGCAGCAGCAGCGTGCCTGGACAACAGCAGCAGCGTGACTGGACAGCAGCAGCAGCAGCGTGACTGGACAGCAGCAGCAGCGTGACTGGACAACAGCAGCAGCGGGACTGGACAGCAGCATCAGCGTGCCTGGACAACAGCAGCAGTGTGACTGGACAGCAGCAGCAGCAGCGTGACTGGACAGCAGCAGCAGCGTGACTGGACAGCAGCAGCAGCGTGACTGGACAGCAGCAGCAGCGTGACTGGACAGCAGCAGCGGCAGAGCTGAACGGTGGCAGCAGGACTCGTGACAGGAGCGACAGTCATGGCGACTGACTCCGTGCCTATTGACACCGGATCCATCGTTCGCCTCGAGGCCCAGGACGGCACTACCGCACTGAATTGGCACCGTTTCTCACAGAGCCTCACCGGCGTCCAAGTTGGCCTCCGCCGCAATCTTCCAAACTGAAATGAGGCCTTGCTGGACGAGCTCGCGGATGAAGAAGTAGCGGAGCTCGATGTGCTTGGAGCGGGCGTGATAGACGGGATGAGTGAGGTGGATGGTGCTGGCGTTGTCACACCAGAGAGTGGGGCACGGCTGGGGGGCGCCAAGTTCGGCAAGAAGAAAACAGAGCCACCGTGACTCCTGGGCGGCCATGGTGCCAGCGTAGAGCTCGGCCTCGCAGGTGGAGAGAGAAATGGCAGAGGAGCGGGTGGAGCGCCAGCTGATAAGGCCGCTGCCAAGTGTAAAACCGTAGCCCTGGGAGGAGCGGCGGTCCGGCTGCGAGTCAGCCCATGAGGAATCACTGAAGCCCGAAAGGAGAGGAGGGGAGGGGCCGCCAAGGGTGAGGACATGGTCCTTGGTCCCACGAAGGTAGCGGAGGACCCGCTTAGCAGCCTTCCAGTGTTCCTCAGTGTGACGACCGGTGCCAACAATGCGTGCGAGCACGCTAATGGGGTAGGCGAGGTCGGGGCGGGTGCACATCATTGCGTACATCAGCGACCCAACGAGCTCGGCATAAGGATGAGGGGAGGAGGAGGGAGAAGTGGGCGGAGCGAGCTGGTGGCCGAAAAGGAGGGGGGTGGACACGGGCTTGGCCTGCGCCATCTCGAACTTCTCCAAGACCTGGCCGATGTAGTGGGACTGGGAGAGGGTGATGGTGCGAGCAGGGCGGTCGCGCGTGATGGTCATGCCTAGGTAGTGCGTGAGGTCGCCCAGGTCCTTGCATTTGAGACGCTGCTGCAGTGACATCTTCATCTGCTCCATGTCAGCCTTGGAGTCAGAAAGGAGAATCATGTCGTCCACATACACCAGAATGAAGAAGCGGCGAGGGCAGGAGCGAATGAAGAGGCTGGCATCGGAGTGGGATGCAGAGAAGCCGAGGGACCCCAGAGTGGCAGACAGCTTCGCGTGCCACTCCCTAAAGCCCCTGCTGCTGCTGCTGCTGCTGCTGTCCCGGTTGCTGTTGCTGCTGCTGCCCCGGCTGCTGCTGCTGCTGCTGCCCCGGCTGCTGCTGCTGCTGCTGCTGATCCGGCTGCTGTAAAGGGGGAGAATGAGAGGAGGAGGGAGAGGGGGGAGGGGGTGCAACTGAGTGAGCGGGGGAGGCGGGTGCGGCAGGGTCGTAGACGTCGGCAGAGGAGGAAGGCGGGAGCGGGGCGGCGACAGGGGGGAGGAGAGGCGCTGGAGGGAGAAGAGGCGGGAGGACGGTGTCGGTCCAAGCGAGGGGGCGAGTGGGAGGAGGGAGAGGGTCAGGAGGAGGAGTGGAGTAGTAGGGAGTGGACTCGTCGAAGACGACGTCGATGCTGCAGATGAGGCGATTGGTGGGAGGGTGGAGGAATAGGTAGCCTGGGGAATCGCGATTGTGCCCAAGGTAGACGCACTCCAGAGCGCGAGGGGCGAGCTTGCTAGCAGCGCGGGAGCGATCGGCCGGAGGGATGAGGACGAACGCCTTGCAGCCCCAAACGCGAAGGCCAGCAGCGTCAGGCTTGGCCTTAGACCAAAGTTCTGTGGGGGAGGAGGAGGAATGCTGAGGGTGGGAGCGGAGATTAAGGAGGAGGGCAGCATGGAGGAGGGCATAGCTCCAGAGGGAAGGAGGGGTGGAGGCGTGAGCAAGAATGCAACGAGCAATCTTGGTGATCTCACGAATGCGACTCTCAGCGATGCCGTTCTGCTGAGGGGAATGGGGGAGGGTGTGGGTCTGCTGAATGCCGCGGGTTTTGCAGTAAGTGGCGAGGGTATGATTGAGGAACTCACCCCCACCATCAGAGTGAAGGCGGCTGATGGGGCGTTTAAAGTGTGTGCGGCACTGCTCAGCCCAGGCAATGACCACAGCCGGCACTTGATCCTTCGTGTGAAGGAAGAAGACAGTAGAGTACCGACTGTGGTCGTCGACGAGAACGAGCATGTATCGGTGCCCCTGGCGAGAGCGGATGGGATAGGGGCCCCACAGGTCCATGTGAACAAGGTCAAGGGGAGCAGCTGCGAAAGTGGGATGGCTGTGATGGGGAGACTGTTTGAGTTTGCCATGAATGCAGGATGGGCATGGGGGTGCGGGGGAGGAAGGGAGGGGAGGAAGAGTGGGGGGGAGGCTGTCGAGGAGGCGGGATGTGATGGCAGTGCGAAGTGCAGCGAAGTTTGGGTGGCCTAATCTGTGATGCAAGAGCACAGCAGGGTGGGAGAGGTGAGTAGAGGAAGAGGGGGATGGGGTGGGGGAAGGAGAGGGGGAGGAGGATGAGGGGGATGACGTAGGGGAGGAGGATACCTGGGGGGGAGGGGTAGGGGGAGGGGGAGGGGGGCCGGTGGAAGTGCCAGCACGAGTGGTGACCTGACAAAAGGAGGGACGAGGTGTGCGGAGCGTGTAAAGGCGAGTGCGAGGACAAAGGGGAATGCGTAGGAGGAAGCGGACAGAAGCAGTGTTGTAGAGATCACAGTAAGAGGCATTACCAGGGTAAATAGCGGTAATACCAGCGCCTTGTATCTCACGGTGGGAGAGGAGGTTGTTGCGAAGGGTGGGGATGTGGAGACCTGTGACAGTACCAGATGGGAAAGCGGTGCAAGGTAGAGTGGAGAGGTGAGTGCATGGGATGGAAAAACTGGTGTCGGCACCGTGTACCTGAGTGGGAAGAGGAAGGGGAGTGAGGGTGCCAGCATCCTTCAGTGCGGTTTCTGTGGCCCCACTATCAAGGACAAAGTCCAAGGTGGGGGAGGAAGGAGGGGGAGGTGACACGGGGTACTGGAAAAGCGTCTCATTAATAGCAGAGGGATACATGGAAGCGACAGAGGGTGCAACGGTAACATGACCAAGGAAACTGCCTTGGGTGTCAGAGACACTGCGGGGGGCAGAGGGGTAGCCAGGGTATGGCTGCTGCTGAAGAAGGGGCTGCTGTGGCTGGGGAGGATAAGGGAGGAGGGGGGGACCCAGGAATCCCGGGTGATGCTGTGGCCCCAGGTACTGCTGCTGCATAGGCGGAAGGCCCTGGAACCCCGGGTGCATCAGCTGCTGCTGCTGCTGCTGCTGCCGCTGCTGCTACTGCTGCTGCTGCTGCTGAGGCTGCGGGTCTGGAAGGGGGGGGAGAAAGACTTGTACCTGGTGCAGGAGGTGGGGAGGCAGGTGACTCGCCAGAGTCTGGTGGAGCTGAGAAGGTGGTGGCTGATAGGCGGGAAGTGTTCGAACGTCATGAACAGTGGGGCGAGGGGTAACAGTGGCCCAGCGAGGAGGGGTACCTGTGTTGCCCCGAGCAAACCACTCATCACTAAGGGCCTTGAAGCAGGTTTCAGCAGGATGGGTGGTTTGGTTGCAGCGGTGGCCCTTGTTGGGGCCCTGTCGAATGACATAGGAGCAGGGAGGGAAACCCCCTGAGCGTCCACCGCGACCAGCACCCCCATCACCTCCCGGCGTCCCACCTGGAGCGCCACCGCCAGCCCCTCTACCTCGACCACCACCGCCTCCGCCACTCCCCCCACCACGACCCTTGCCACCACGCCCCCCACGTCCTCCGCGTCCCTGTGTGAAGTTGAGGGTGGAGGGGGACTGGCGGGTAAGCTTGGCTTCAGTATCAAGGACCCATGTGGTGACGTCGGCAGCCGTGGCGTGGGGAGAGAGAACAATGTCGTAGGCGATGCGGTGCATCTCATAGGCCGGGGTGAGTCCTTCGAGGATGCGCCAAATGAGGAGGGGGTCGTCAATAGTGGCCCCACGCTCCCGAAGACGCCGAGCCGTGTTGTTGAGGCGACGGGTATAGTCAGCTGCGCCGGTGCAGTTGTCAAGGGTGATAGCGTTGAAGTCACGGTAGAGGGCATGAAGAGATGCCATGTCCCGGCGGTCATACAAGTCACAGAGAGCGCGCCAGAGAACTGCAGAGGAAGTGGCGTCAAGCTCGCTTTGGAGCGAGGTCGGGATGCAGGAGTTGATGAGGCCGATAGCCCGAGTGTCGGCAATGCACCAGGCGGCATGGCGAGACTTGAAATCAGTCAGCTGGGAGGTGTACGACGTCTGATCAGCAGCGTACTGCGCTTGAAGGGCAGCGGCCGTGGTGTGAGCAGCAAGGGCTGCCTTGTGGGTATCCACCAGTCGCGTGTGTGTCGCCACCTCCTCCGCGTAGGTGGTGAGGCGCGAGGCATTGGTGGTGTTGTCAGAAACGAGGCGAGGGAGATCGGGCGGGCGAGGTGCTTCGCCAGGATGGGGTGGAGGAGGAGGAGGTTCAAGACCAAGGAGGGGAGGTGGGGTGGGCCCAAGGCCATCCGGTTCAGCGAAGACAACGGAGTAGAGGTTAAAGCCGCCCACAATGGTGGAGCGGAGGACGCCGGTGAGGCTCTGTGAGAAACGGTGCCAATTCAGTGCGGTAGTGCCGTCCTGGACCTCGAGGCGAACGATGGATCCGGTGTCAATAGGCACGGAGTCAGTCGCCATGACTGTCGCTCCTGTCACGAGTCCTGCTGCCACCGTGCAGCTCTGCCGCTGCTGCTGTCCAGTCACGCTGCTGCTGCTGTCCAAGCACGCTGCTGCTGCTGCTGTCCAGTCACGCTGCTGCTGCCGTCCAGGCACGCTGCTGCTGCTGTCCAGTCACGCTGCTGCTGCTGTCCAGTCCCGCTGCTGCTGCTGCTGTCCAGTCACGGTGCTGCTGCTGTCCAGTCCCGCTGCTGCTGCTGTCCAGTCACGGTGCTGCTGCTGTCCAGTCACGCTGCTGCTGCTGCTGTCCAGTCACGCTGTTGCTGCTGCTGTCCAGTCCCGCTGCTGCTGCTGTCCAGTCACGCTGCTGCTGCTGTCCAGTCACGCTGCTGCTGCTGTCCAGTCACGCTGCTGCTGCTGTCCAGTCCCGCTGCTGCTGCTGTCCAGTCACGCTGCTGCTGCTGTCCAGTCCCGCTGCCGCTGCTGTCCAGTCACGCTGCTGCTGCTGTCCAGTCCCGCTGCCGCTGCTGTCCAGTCACGCTGCTGCTCGACGGTCAGAGGGGTCTCCGCGGCTGCCTGCAGAGGTGACGCGACGGTCAGAGGGGTCTCCGCGGCTGCCTGCAGAGGTGACGCGACGGTCAGAGGGGTCTCCGCGGCTGCCTGCAGAGGTGACGCGACGGTCAGAGGGGTCTCCGCGGCTGCCTGCAGAGGTGACGCGACGGTCAGAGGGGTCTCCGCGGCTGCCTGCAGAGGTGACGCGACGGTCAGAGGGGTCTCCGCGGCTGCCTGCAGAGGTGACGCGACGGTCAGAGGGGTCTCCGCGGCTGCCTGCAGAGGTGACGCGACGGTCAGAGGGGTCTCCGCGGCTGCCTGCAGAGGTGACGCGACGGTCTAACAGAGCCGTGTGACTGCAGGGAGGTACTTCGCGACGGTGAAATGAAGCCGTGCGACTGCAGGGAAGGATTTCGCACGGTGAAATGTGGCCTTGCGGACTGCAGGGAAGGATTTCGCATGGTGAAATGTGGCCGTGCGGACTGCAGGGAAGGATTTCGCACGGTGAAATGTGGCCGTGCGGACTGCAGGGAAGAATTTCGCACGGTGAAATGTGGCCGTGCGGACTGCAGGGAAGAATTTCGCACGGTGAAATGTGGCCGTGCGGACTGCAGGGAAGAATTTCGCACGGTGAAATGTGGCCGTGCGGACTGCAGGGAAGGATTTCGCACGGTGAACTTGACCGGCGCGACTGAAGGAAGGAACTACGACGAGAAGGTGGGAGATGTAAAAAAAAGGTAATACTTGGTTGAGTAGGCCTAGGATCTAGGGCGTTTGCCTTAGGCTCTGAATACCATGAAAGAAACTAGGAGCTATGGAAACTTGAGGAAGAATTGTTAACATTAGCTCAAGAGAGCACAAGAATATACAAGGAAGAGAAGGTTGGAGAAGAACACCAAACCTAGCACATAAGACACCAAGACCAAGTAGGCTAGTGGGAGGAAGGACCATCCAACCAACCCTAGTGGGATGGTGGCCAACCAACCAAAGTTGGTTGCCCCACTTGGCCAACAAGGTTGGAGCCAAGTCTAAGCTAGGATATTTGGGTTCACCCCAATTAGGGTGTCTACCCGCAGTACACCCAAAACTAGGGCCTGAACCAACCCAACTGTACACCACTCTTGGTGTACAGTCACAAGTGTTCACATGCTATAATATATAGATTCAAACAGCAGTCCAAGCTGTCATAGCGGCAGTCCAAGCTGTCATAGCGGCAGTCCAAGCTGTCATAGCGGCAGTCCAAGCTGCCATAGCGGCAGTCCAGGCTGTCGTCATCACACGGAGTGCACTGCTCTTGCATGCCCTAGTATCACTCACCTCACTCACCTCACTCACCTCACTCACCTCACTCACCTCACTCACACTCTCACCCACTGCAACCCACCCACCTCCAGCGTGCCATAGCGGCAGTCCAAGCTATCGTCATCACATGACGTGCACTGCTCCTGCATATCATAACATGTCTCACACGACACAATAATAACACACGCAAACACCCCCCCACACACCCACCTCCAGCATCCCATAGCGGCAGTCCAGGCTGTCATCATCACACGGCATGCACTGCTGTTGCGACACGGCGTTGGGGAAGAACATGAAGGTGCCGTGCTGTGCCATGCTCCTTCTAACCCCCCTCACACACACACCCACCTCCAGCCATAGCGGCAGTCCAAGCTATCGTCATCACACGGCGTGCACTGCTCCTGTTACTATAACGTATCATAGCATCTCTTCCCCAACCATCCTCACCTCCAGCGTGCCATAGCGGCAGTCCAGGCTGTCATCATCACACGGCGTGCACTGCTCCTGGGACACGGCGTTGGGGTAGAAGGTGAAGGTGCCGTCTGGACAGGTCTCCATGCCCTGGCCCGGTGCACACCTGAAGGGAGGGTGGGGGGAAAATGGGAGAAGCTCGGATGGCTTGAATCAGCGTTGGGGAAGAAGGTGAACGTGCCATCTGGACACGTCTCCATGCCCTGCCCTGGTGCGCACCTGAGGGGAGGTGAGGGAAGGGGGGCGAGGGGGGGGAGTAAGGGAAGGGGGGCGAACCACAGGAATAGTGACTTGATTGCATTGAGGGGGCGTTGGGGAAGACGGTGAAGGTGCCGCCTGGACACGTTTCCATGCCCTGGCCCGGTGCGCACCTGAAGGGAGGGTGGGGGGAAATTGGAGAAGGACATATGAAGTGACGGGTGGGGGATGGGAGAAGCTGGGTATGGCTTGAATCAGCGTTGGGGGAGAAGGTGAAGGTGCTATCTGGACACGTCTCCATGCCCTGCCCTGGCGCACACCTGAAAGGAGAAGGATGGGGTAATGGGAGGGGGGTGAGAAGGAGGACGGGAAGAGGGACTTAGTTAGAGTGATGATGGGAGGGATATGACCTACTGGAATGCCTTCAGCAGCAACATTGGATTGGAAAGAAGGTGAAGGTGCTGTGTGGACATGTCTCCATGCCCTGCCCTGGTGCACACCTGGGGGGAGTGGCAGGGGGATGGGGTATGGGATGGGGAAGCGAGGCTTGGAGTGATGGGCAGGGGTCCGGCCGGCTGGAATGCCTTGAGAAGCCACACGGGGAATAAGGTATAGGTGTGTGGGAGGGGGAATGGCACACTGGCCATTCCTGTCCTGTCAGTTGAAACTCCAAGCATGAACCCTCCTGTGGCCAATGGGTCAAGCATGGGCAAAAGACAAGACCTACCAGTGGCCCACAGGGCAGTCCTGGCAGCTGAAGCTCTCCCCGTCGAAATACTGCCCAGCCGGGCAGAAGGAAATGTTGAACGGGTGGGAGAAGTCCGGGAAGGCGTTGGTGGTGGAGGAGACGGTGACGGTGAGCGCTATCGGCTGTAGCGCACCGCCCGGGGACACGCGGACGGCAATGGGCGGCACTGTGATGATGCCGCCCTGCGATGTGCCGCGCAAGGAACCGCTGATGCGGCTGTCAGGGGAGACGCTGGCTAGGGCGGAGTTGTCCTGGCGGGGTGGGGGGGGGGGGGGGGGGGGGGGGGGGTGGGGGGAGGAAAGGAGGTGGAGAGGGTAAGGTGAATGAGTGATGATGCCTCCCTGGGATGTGCCGCGCAAGGAACCACTGATGCGACTGTCAGGAGAGACGCTGGCTAGGGCGGAGTTGTCCTGGCGGGGTGGGTGGGAAGGGGAAGGGAGGGGATCGGGGGAAGCGAATGGGTTGGTTGCGGCGGCGCCGGCTAGTGGGGGAACGCCCTGTAGCGCCTCGCTTATGCAGTTGTGAGGGGAGATGTAGATTTGTCCTGTCTCACATCTTTTTTATGAGAATTCTCAAACAGATTTTGAGAATTCGCAAAAAACAGATGTAGAGTTGTCCTGTCTCACATTTCCCCTGACAGCTGTGAGACAAGGCGGAGTTGTCCTGGTGGTGTTTGAAGTGAGGAGAGGAGGAGAGGAGAGGAGAGGAGAGGGGAGGGGAGACAATGACGTTTCCAAGCCCGTCCGCCACCACAACCGACCCTTCTTCTTCAGTGCCTCTCAATCATTCTGGGAGCCCATGCCAATGATTCATTGCCAATGAATGAACTTTGGCTAAGCCACTAGCCGTCCTTGAAACTTACCAGTCAGCCCTTAGCTTGGCAATGTTGTTCTTCAACTCGTTCTTCCCCCACCCGCCCACCCGCCCGCCCGCCCGCCCACCCGCCCACCCGCCCACCCGCCCACCCGCCCACCCACCCACCCGCCCACCCGCCCACCCGCCCACCCGCCCACCCGCCCACCCACCCACCCGCCCACCCGCCCACCCGCCCACCCACCCACCACCACCTGCGTTTCGTCACCACCTGCCTGAGCAGTGAGCCATGCGTCGTCAGCCCACCCCGTTCATTCGACACGATGCTTGCAAACTCGTCCTGCACTTCCTGTAGCAACATCCCTATAACTTTAAAGCGACTCATGCCATTGAACCCAACACCGGTAAGACAACAGCATTTCTTACACAAGAGTTATTTTTACAAAGTGCTACTAACAATCACAGGTGTTAATCCCTACGTTGCTGCCACGTATCGAACCTATGGCACCTAACTGATGTTCACTTGGAAACAATTTTCACCTTTGACACCGTGTTGCCAAACTCGCCCACCACCACCACCTGCAGCCCCGTCAGCATAGAGCCCACAGAGCCCACAGAGCCCACCGAGCCCACAGAGCCCACAGAGCCCACAGAGCCCACAGGGCGCACCACCGAGAAGCTTTTTGACTCGAACTAAAAAATCACTTCATTCCTTACCTTAGAGACAATGTTGCCAAACTCGTCCACCACCACCACCTGCAGCCCCGTCAGCATGGAGCCCACCGAGCCCACCACTGAGAAGCTGCCACCTGTCTCCTGGGATGACGCCGCCACCCCCGGCCATCTGGATGAGGGGTGAGAGGGTGGCACGGGGGTGATGGGAAGGAGGGAGGAGGGAGAGGGGTGATTGGGTGGCATGGGGTGTTGAAGGGTGATGGGAAGGAGGGAGGAGGGAGAGGGGGGGTAGGGTGGCACGGGGTATAGAAGGGTGATGGGAAGGAGGGAGGAGGGAGACGGGGGGTAGGGTGCTGGCCAGTGGCCATCTGGACGAGGGGTGAGAGGGTGGCACGGTGAGCAGCATCAAAAGGTGAAATGATGGCAGTAGGAAGCTATTTCTGAGGCGCCTCAAAATGTACTCTTTACAGGCGCACTCACTGGAGATAAAAATCTGCCGGCATGCTGCCCTGGGTATCCCCCTGCTGCCGCATCTGGCAGGCGTGGCAGGCGGAGCGCAGGTGGGGGCTGTAGGAAGCATCGAAGAAGGCCACCCCGTGTGCATCCATGGCACTGTTGCCGTCAAACAGCAGGCCTTGCAGTCGAACCTGATTGGTGGAGAAAGAGGAGGAGGAGGTGGTGGTACTGGTGGAGGTGTCATTTGGGGTAAAAGCAGCAGCAGATGTTGCTGCCCTCACACCACTGCCTCTGATGCTGCTACTGCTGCTGCCACCACTACCGCTGCCGCTGTCTCTGCTGCTACTGCCCAGCGCAATCCGTCCTCTAGCTCTCTTACCCCGACCAGGAGCAGAAGCAGAAGCACCAACCCGAGGAGGCCTGTTACCACCACCTGCTGCAGCAGCAGTAGCAGCAGCCGAGCGCATCAGGTACACCCCAGCACCGCCCACCACCGCATAGTTCCCCTCAAACCTCGACCCTGATATCTCCCCTTCCACCTGCTCTAAGACAGCCACCCCCCCTCCCGCCTTAGTCGCGTTATTTTTAATAAACACAGACTCCCCCATGGTGAAAGCTGTGGAGCCTGCTAGGGCAACCCCTGCCCCAATCTGCGCTATGTTCCTTGTGAAATCTGAGCCGTTGATTATGAGATACGGGCTGCCTTCGGTGCTCACCGCGCCGCCCAGTGCCGCCCAGTTTCCGGCAAAGCTGCACGAGTGGACGGCGACCGTCGTCTTATCTCCAACCAGCACCGCGCCACCCCGCCCAGCCGCGTTGGAATTCCGCGTGAAGCTACAGTTCCGCAGAACCCCCTGGGAAAACCCTTGGAATAAAATCCCCGAAAAGGTGTTGTTTTCAAACGCAGAATCGGCTGCTGTGACTCTCGCCTCTGCCTCTACCACCATAGCCCCTCCATGCAGCGCGGAGTTTCCCCGAAACACGCTCCCGCCTCGCACTTCCACCCGGGACACGTGCGTCGCATACACCGTCCCGCCGAGGTACCTCGCCTCGTTCCCGACAAGCTTCGAGTTGTTTGAGATGAGCAGAGACGCGCCCATCTCCACCCAGACGGCGCCGCCCCAGGCTGCGGTGTTGTGGGAGACGGAGGAGGAGAGGAGGGAGAGGTGCGCGCTGCCGCTGACGCGCGCTGCCCCTCCCTCGCTGGTGCCGTGGTTGGCTGAAAGGATTGAGTCGGTGACTGTGGCGTGGGCGTTGGCGAGCAGAGAGAGGCACGCACCGCCTGTTAGGGCTCTGTTGTTGGGAGTTGGGAGGGATGGGAGGGGGGATGAGAGTTCTTCAGTATGGCACACACAGCGCTGCTCCCCCCTCGCTGGTGCCGTGGTTGGCTGAAAGGATTGAGTCGGTGACAGTTGCGTGGGCGTTGGCGAGCAGAGAGAGGCACGCACCGCCTGTTAGGGCTCTGTTGTTGGGAGTTGGGAGGGATGGGAGGGGGGATGAGAGTTCTTCAGTATGGCACACACAGCGCTGCTCCCCCCTCGCTGGTGCCGTGGTTGGCTGAAAGGATTGAGTCGGTGACAGTTGCGTGGGCGTTGGCGAGCAGAGAGAGGCACGCACCGCCTGTCAGGGCTCTGGTGTGGGAGGTTCGGGCGGGAGGAGAGGAAACAGAGAATGGTTGTCACTGCAGCACACACAGTGCCGCCCCCCCCCTCGCTGGTGGCGTGGTTGGCTGAAAGGACTGAGTCGGTGACTGTGGCGTGCGCGTTGGCGAGCAGAGAGAGGCATGCGCCGCCTGTGAGGGCTCTGTTGTTGAGAGGGTCGGGGGATAGGATAGAGGGAATGGTTGTCACTTAGGCTCCAGCACACCCAGCTCTGCTTCCCCACCACCCACCTGTGAGGGCTCTGTTGTGGGAGGCATGTGAGGATGAGAGAGGAGGAAACAGAGAAGAGAGGAGCTTTCAGAATGGAGAGCAGAACAATGCTCTGTTGCGTGCCTTATCACGTGCCACCGTCCCATAATCCCATCTCACACTGACTGCCATGTCATCTCACACTCATTGCCATGTCATCTCACACTCATTGCCATGTCATCTCACACTCATTGCCATGTCATCTCACACTCATTGCCATGTCATCTCACACTCATTGCCATGTCATCGCACACTCCCATGCCATCTTGTCTCTCACATGTCCCTGTGTCATCCCACTCACATGTTCCCCTGACACCGCGTGCGAGTCATCTCTACCCGTGAGAACTCCTGTACGAGCACAGCACCGCCCAGCCCTGTGCTGTTGTCTATCACACACATCACACACTCATCACATGCTACCTACCACATCATCACCTCATCCCACTCACATGTTCCTCTGACACCGGGTGCGAGTCATCTCTACCCGTGAGAACTCCTGAACCAGCACAGCGCCGCCCAGCCCCGTGCTGTTGTTTTCCTCCACCTCACACGCGTGCACGCGCGTGTGCATGCCCAGCCCCGTGTAGATGGCACCTCCCCCAAGCACCGCCTCGTTGCGCACGAAGCGGCACGACGTGAAAAGAGCTTTGGTGGGCAGACCGTCACTGCTGGATGCATAGACTGGAACGAGGGAGAAGAAGGGGGGGAGGGGGGGGGGGGGGGGGGGGGGGAGGAGGGGGGAGGAGTGAAGGGAGAAGTTTGGGATGGGAAGAAGGTAGGGAAGGGGAGAAGGGCCAGTCAAAGGCGGAGAGGGTCGTGGTGAATGAGGAAGGAGAGGGTGTGTGGGGGAACAGGGGAGTAGTGTGGAGAGAGAGTGGTGCCAGCCCGTGCAGATAGCACCTCCCCCGAGTACCGCCTCGTTGCGCACGAAGCAGCATGATTTGAAAAGTGCTTCGGTGGGCAGACCGTCGCTGCTGGATGCATAGACTGGAACGAGGGAGAAGGGGGGGGGGGGGGGAGGGGGAGGGGGGATGCCGTGATTGCTGGATGCATAGACTGCATGGGGAAGGAGGTGAAAGGAGGCGATGTGCAGTCTATGCATGAGGTCAGTGGAGCAGGAGAGTGGTGCGACCATGAGCAGAGCAGAGTGACGTCAGACGTTAAATCGGTTTTGACACGTCTCAAAACAGATTACCATCACGTGGCGGAGTGACATCAGGCTCTTGATATCCCCCTACCTGCCACTGTGTACCGTGCCGTTCAGAGCTGGAAATTCTGTTCACTCATCTGCTATCAGGCTGGAAGCGTTGGTTCACTCACCAGCCACCGGCCCTCCCTGCCACGCCGCCGTGTTCCCGTCCAGAGTGACATTATCGAACGTGACAGACACCGACCTGCTGTAAACAGCGCCTCCCTCCCTTGGTGCCGTGTGCTTCACTCACCAGCCTTTAGTTCATTGGTCACTGTGTTCACTCATGAAGTGCCCGTTCACTCACCAGCCTTTAGTTCATTGGTCACTGTGTTCACTCATGAAGTGCCCGTTCACTCACCAGCCTTTAGTTCATTGGTCACTGTGTTCACTCATGAAGTGCCCGTTCACTCACCAGCCTTTAGTTCATTGGTCACTGTGTTCACTCATGAAGTGCCCGTTCACTCACCAGCCTTTAGTTCATTGGTCACTGTGTTCACTCATGAAGTGCCCGTTCACTCACCAGCCTTTAGTTCATTGGTCACTGTGTTCACTCATGAAGTGCCCGTTCACTCACCCGCCTTTAGTTCATTGGTCACTGTGTTCACTCATGAAGTGCCCGTTCACTCACCCGCGCCCCCCTGCAGCCCCGGCGTGTTGCCGTCCAGAGGGACGTTAACGAAGGTGACAGACACTGACTCGCTTCACTTCACTCAAGTGCCACCAAGTGTTGGTGGTGCCGTGCGTTCACTCACCAGCCACCGCCCCTCCCTGCAGCCCCGCCGTGTTGCCGTCCAGAGTGACACTATCGAAGGTCATTGACACCGACTCGCTGTACAGGGCGCCTATTGTGACACAGTGTTTCCCTTACCAGCCAGGAAGCATTAGCATGCATCCACTCACCGGCAACAGCGCCCCCTTGCAGCGCGGCCTTGTTCCCGTCCAGAGTGACATTATCGAAGGTGACAGACACTGACTCGCTGTACAGGACGCCCCCTCTGTTTCTAGACTTCTGGCCATCTGGTGCCGTGTGTTCACTCACCAGCCACTGCGCCCCCTTGTAGTGCGGCCTTGTTTCCGTCCAGTGTGACATTATCGAAGGTGACTGACACTGACTCGCTGTACAGGGCACCTCCCTTGGACTGCTCCGCCCTGTTGCCCACGAACGTGCTGCTCTCCACCCGCACTGCCCCCGTGCCCTGCAGGGGTGAGGTGAGGGAGTGGGCGAAAGTGAGTGCAAATGCGTGGGAGTGCAGAAATTAGCATTGAGACATATTGAGACTCGCTGTACAGGGCGCTTCACTTGGTCCGCTCTGCCCTGTTTCTCACGAATGTGCTGCTCTCCACCCTCACTGCCCCCGTGCCCTGCAGGTGTGCAAGAGGGTTTTGCAAGAGAGTGTGCAGGTGAAGGGATGGGCATTGAGACATATTGAGACTCGCTGTACAGGGCGCTTCACTTGGTCCGCTCTGCCCTGTTGCCCCCAAACTAGCTGCTCTCCACCCTACCTGCCCCTGTGCCCTGCAGGTGTGCAAGGGAGTGTGCAGGTGTGCAAGGGAGCGTGCAGGTGTGCAAGGGAGTGTGCAGGTGTGCAAGGGAGCGTGCAGGTGTGCAAGGGAGTGTGCAGGTGTGCAAGGGAGCGTGCAGGTGTGCAAGGGAGCGTGCAGGTGTGCAAGGGAGCGTGCAGGTGTGCAAGGGAGCGTGCAGGTGTGCAAGAGAGCACGACGTTTCCCTGGAAGCGCGTGCGTGAGACGAAGAGGCTGTCGTACGGCAGGAAGTGCTGTCAACGAGTGTGAATAGCTCTCACAACCCGCAACTCCCCTCACACACATTAACCGCAATCACAACAACTCACCTTGAGCACCTGAATAGCCTCGCCGTTCTGCTTGAGCACGGAGTTTCCTTGGAAGCACGAGCGGGAGGGCTTGTGCTTCTGTCTCGAAAGCGGGAGACGTAGAGGCAGTTTAACCGCACTCTCAACTCACGACTCACCTCTTGCTCCATACCAACTCTCAACTCACAACTCGCCTCTTGCTCCATACCAACTCACAACTCACCCCGAGCACGTGAATAGCCCCGCCGTTCTGCTTGACCACGGAGTTCCCTTGGTGATAGAATTCAAGAGTATGATTAGTAATGAGCCAACAAGGCTCTATAATACAAGCATGCAAGGAAGAGAAGGTTGTAGGAGGAGCTAACCCTATTGGCCAATAAGTTGGCCAATGGGTGAGGTGCCTTGTGGAGTAGGCAACCTCACAATGTGGCTAGGTTGGGATTGGTTGGTCTAAGGACCAAAAGTTGGCAAGTGCCAACCAAGGGCCAAGACCAAATCCAATCTTGACCAACCACAAAGTGTGGTTGGAGTGTACACCCAACCCCCCCAAGAACCTAAAGGACTACACCTATTCTAGCCTATGAATGTTGTATATAGTGTACAATTACAACACTTGGTAGCGCGAGTGGGAGGGCTTATGAGACATCTCGAAAGAGGGAGACGTAGAGGCTGTTTAACCGCACCCACAACTCACCCCCTGCACGTTGATAGCCCCGCCGTTCTGCTTGAGCACGGAGTTCCCTTGGAAGCGAGAGCGGGAGACATTGAGGATCTCGTATGGCAGGAAGTGCAGCGCTCCGCCCTGGTCTTGTGCTTTATTGTCCACAAACGTGCAGTTGTCTACGACCGTTCGTGCTCGCGATGTCACTGCGTGTAGGGGCGCGAGGGGGAGGGGCGTGGACAAGGGAGGGGTGTGCAGCGCAGTGACTCAACGTGCAGTTGTTGGGGAGTATGCGTGCTTAAGATTTCATTGAGTGCACAGGCAAGAACGGAAGGGGATGGGGAAAAAGGGGAGGGGAAAGGGAAGAAGGGGAAACCTGAGGGGGTGTTTGAGTGAGGTAGACTAGACCAGCACATGAAGTGCAGTGCGCCACCTTCGTTGCATTCCCTGTTGTCCAGTAGAATAGGGCTCGAACCGCAGCAAGCCGTAAGAATTTTAGCAAAGTGCTGTGCACCACCACCCTTGACGCATTCCAAGTTGTCTACAAACGTGCAGTGCAGTGCAGTGCAGTGCAGTTTGTCTATCGGCGTGCGCGCTGGGGGGTGGGAGAGGAGGGGTTTGTAGGTGCTCTCACCTACGTATACCTCTATTTTCAGTCTAATGAGTTGATTCTTCTTCACGCTTCAACTTTTCTCACATAACTCGCAACACAGCAGCAGGATTGTAACTAAAACGGCACCACCCAGGGAGCAATCGGATGGGAGTGGTCTCCGTTGCGAAGGAAGAGACAGTTGAGCACTCACTCGCTACCAACACTAGCACGGACGCGACTCACTAGTAGCAGCGGGGAGGACGAGAGGAGTTGGGTGGTGAGTCACCAGCGCCTCATTCACTACAAGGAGACCAGAAGGACTGTAACTTACCAGCACCACCCCAGCATCACTACCCAGGACCCCTCACTAGCACCACACTGGCAGGGGAGTGGGACTCACTAGCGCCACCCAGGGAGCATTCGGAGTGGTCTCCGTTGCGGAGGAAGAGACAGTTGAGCACTTGCAGATGCCCCGTGTCAATATACAGAGCCCCTCCTTGCCCGCCCTGAGTGGCGTGGGAAACAGAGGGAGCAATAGGAGATACAGAGGCAAGGCAAAGAGGCGGAAGAGGCAGTTGAGCACTCGCGGATGCCCTGCGTCCACATACAGAGCCCCGCCTTGCCCGCCCTGAGTGGAGTGGAGTGAGTGGGGTGGGGGGAAGGAGGGGGCAATGGGAAATACTTAGGCAAGGCCAAGAGGAGGAAGACGCAGTTCAGCACTTACAGAGCTCCGCCTTGCCCGGCCTGAGTGGAATCGTATGGGGGATGGAGGGAAGGAGTGGGAGCAATGTGAATACTTAAGCCAGCCTCATAAACCGATGGCTCACCTGGTTCTCAACGAACGTGCAGTCGATGATATCATAAGGCACAGTAGCGTCCATGAACATGTTGGCTGCGATGGCGCCCCCCTGAGTGAGGTACGTGGCTGCCTGCGACCCACGTGCACCCTATGATCTCTCTCACCCACCTGGTTCTCAACGAACGTGCAGTCGATGATATCATAAGGCACAGTAGCGTCCATGAACATATTGGCTGCAATAGCCCCGCCCTGAGTGAGGCATGTGGCTGCCTGACACCCATACGCCCACAAGCTATGCTCCCTCTCTCCCACCCACCCACCCACCCACCTGGTTCTCAATGAACGTGCAGTCGATGATATCATAAGGCACAGTAGCGTCCATGAACATATTGGCAGCGATGGCGCCCCCCTGAGTGAGGTACGTGGCTGCCTGCGACCCCGGAGGTAGCGTGTTCACCGCCACGTTGCGCCGGAAGTAGCTCCTCTCCATGCGCATCGGCACCACCCCAACCAAACAAGAGAAAAGCACCCTGCTTCCCGTTCCTTGCAGTGCTTCAGCCTCATAGGAAACCAACTCACCTGGTTCTCAACAAACGTGCAGTCGATGATATCATAAGGTACAGTAGCGTCCATGAACATATTGGCTGCAATAGCGCCCCCCTGAGTGAGGTACGTGGCTGCCTGCGACCCCGGAGGCAGCGTGTTCACCGCCACGTTGCGCCAGAAGTAGCTCATCTCCACGCGCATCGGCACGCCGAAGGAGAGGATTGCGACGCCGAAGCTGGGCCCGTTGGTGACCCGGTTGCTGCGGAACGAGCAGTCCGTGAAGTTCGCTGGACCGTTCATCATCACCAGCTCTATCGCTCCCCCCTGATGGAACGAGGAGATTAGGGAGAGCGGGGCAGAGACGAGAAGAGAGGCGACGAGAGGAGACGAGAGGAGACGAGAGGGGCAGAGAGGAGCAGATCAGAATGGAAAGAAGGCGTTGTGCATTAGAAGGGCCGACGCGCCGAAGGAGAGGATGGCGGCGCCGAAGCTGGGCCCGTTGGTGACTCGGTTGTTGCGGAACGTGCAGTCTGTGAAGTTCGCCGGGCCGCTCATCATCACAAGCTCTATGCCCCCTCCCTGTTGGCACCGGGGGAGGAAGCACAGGAGAATAGAGGAGCAAAACGAGAAGAGAAGAGACGAGAGGGGTAGAGAGGAGGATATTAGAAGGGAAAGAAGGCGTTGTGCATTGGGAGGGCTGATTGTAGAGAGAGCCACGCAGAAGGAGAGAATGGCGGCGCCAAAGCTGGGTCCGTTGGTGACCCGGTTGCTGCGGAACGAGCAGTCGGTGAATTCCGCCGGGCCGCTCATCATCACTAGCTCTATCGCCCCCTCCCTGTTGGCATGTGGGGGGAGGAGGGAGCAAAGGAGGCCTCATCCAGCCAGCCCACCGTATTGAACACCTCACAACCCATTCAACCGACCTGGATGAGAGCCTCGTTGAACTCGAACGTGGTGTTGAGAAACTGCGGCTTCACTTCCCCTTGAAAGAATGACACCCCGCCACCGGTGAGAGGGGAGGAGCAGTGGGCGAAGCGGCAGTGAGCAAAGGAGGCGGCAGCAGAGGTGTTGAGGTGCATGCATCCGCCCGCGCCCGACATGAAATCGACCGGCTGGTAGACCACGGAGGAGTGGAGGAAGGCCGTGCGAGATACGTTGAACGTGGACATGTAGTCGGATATTGCCCCGCCACTTGACGACTGGTGGTGGGGAGGGGAGGAAGGGGAGGGGAGAGGGAGAATATAACCAGCCACTAATGAGAGGGGAGGGGCAGTGGGCGAATCGACGCTGGCAGTGAGCAAAGGAGGCCAGCAGTGGTGTTGAGGTGCACGCAGCCCCCCGCGCCCGACATGAAATCAGCCGGCTGGTAGACCACGGAGGAGTGGAGGAAGGCCGTGCGAGATACGTTGAACGTGGACATGTAGTCGGATATTGCCCCGCCACTTGACGACTGGTCGTGGGGGGGAGAGGAGTGGAGAAAAGACGTGTAAGATATGTTGAACGTGGACATGTAGTCGGATATTGCCCGTTCGACGACTGTTGTGGGGCGGGGAGGGGAGAGGGAGGGAGAGGGGAGCAGGGGGTGGATGGGGAGATAGTTAATGATCCAGCGAGCAGCCTAAACTGCTCCTAAACTGCTCCTAAACTGCTCCTAAACTGCTCCTAAACTGCTCCTAAACTGCTCCTAAACTGCTCCTAAACTGCTCCTAAACTGCTCATAAACTGCTCCTAAACTGCTCCCAAACTGCTCCCAAACTGCTCCCAAACTGCTCCCAAACTGCTCCCAAACTGCTCCTAAACTGCTCCCAAACTGCTCCTAAACTGCTCCTAAACTGCTCCCAAACTGCTCCCAAACTGCTCCCAAACTGCTCCCAAACTGCTCCTAAACTGCTCCCAAACTGCTCCCAAACTGCTCCTAAACTGCTCCCAAACTGCTCCTAAACTTCTCCTAAACTGCTCCTAAACTGCTCCTAAACTGCTCCTAAACTGCTCCTAAACTGCTCCCAAACTGCTCCCAAACTGCTGCTCGCTGGAACATGTGTACCGATCTGTTGACATGTGTACCGATCTGTTGACATGTGTACCGATCTGTTGACATGTGTACCGATCTGTTGACATGTGTACCGATCTGTTGACATGTGTACCGATCTGTTGACATGTGTACCGATCTGTTGACATGTGTACCGATCTGTTGACATGTGTACCGATCTGTTGACATGTGTACCGATCTGTTGACGTGCTCCAGCCTGCGACCCCAAGTTAGACTTATGATGACTTGGCCAGCGAACATGCTGAAAGCATAACGCAAGCAAAGCTGATACCCCCTTTTTTTCGCGTACCAAGCAGCCTCGGAACAAGGAGAAGCGAATCGAAACATTCGATGCCTCACTCGCCATGCACCCTCCCCTCCCCACCACCTCCCCTCCCCCTTCCATCCCCGGCACCCATCCGTCCGTCGTGCCACCACCACTACCCCCATTTGCAGCAGGACTAGCATCCGCCCGAGTGTAGCAGTCCTCTATTCTCGCCTCGCTTAGAAGCAAACTCGATTCAAGCAGAAAGAGGCCCCCGCCTCTTGCTGTAATTTCTCCGAGGGCGCTACAGCCGGATATGACCAGGCCGGTGGCAGCAGCTATAGTGTGGTAGAGAGCCAATCCGCCCCCAGTGCGTCGAATAGGGGCAGCAGCTGCTGCATCTGTTGCTGCTGCAGCGTCAGCACCTGCTGTTGCTGCTGCTGCTGATGTTGCTGCTGCTGTGGCAGCGGTTGCGGCGGCGGCTGCAGTTTTTGCTGCCGATTTCACCGCTGCGACTCTGGCTGCGACCGCAGCCATTGCTGCTGCTGATCTTGCTGCTGCTGCGGCTGCTGCTGACCTGGCTGCATTTCCTTCTGCTGATCCCTTTGCTGCTGCAGTGGCTGGAGTTGCTTCTAGTGGAGATGCAGAAAACCAGTCGGAAGATGGTTCAGACGACTTTTGAGGCGCCTCAGAAGTCGCTGCAGTGGTCGGCGTTGCTGCTAATGTAGACGAAGAGAACCAATCGGAAGATGGTTCAGACGATGCTCGAAAATCGGCGGATGAACGAAATGAAGAGGCGGTTGTTGAATGGAGGTGCGTGCAAGGAGACCGAGCAGTTTTGGATGGTGACATGGCGCAGCGTGACTGGCTGCGGTGTGCTGCTGATGTGGATCCCGCCTCCTGACTCCGAGGCATGGCAGTTGGAGAGGGTGATATCACTGGTGGGGTACGGGGGGGAGGGGGAGGGAAGTGGTGGGGAGTGGAGGAGGGGGGGAAAGAAGGGGAGGTAAAAGGAGAGGGGAGGACAAAGGGTGGAAAGGGGTGGGATAAGGGGAAACGCGGTAGGGAACAGGAGGTATGGCAGTTGGAGAGGGTGATATCACTGGTGGGGTACGGGGGGGAGGGGGAGGGAAGTGGTGGGGAGTGGAGGAGGGGGGAAAAGAAGGGGAGGTAAAAGGAGAGGGGAGGACAAAGGGTGGAAAGGGGTGGGATAAGGGGAAACGCGGTAGGGAACAGGAGGTATGGCAGTTGGAGAGGGTGATATCACTGGTGGGGTACGGGGGGGAGGGGGAGGGAAGTGGTGGGGAGTGGAGGAGGGGGGAAAAGAAGGGGAGGTAAAAGGAGAGGGGAGGACAAAGGGTGGAAAGGGGTGGGATAAGGGGAAACGCGGTAGGGAACAGGAGGTATGGCAGTTGGAGAGGGTGATATCACTGGTGGGGTACGGGGGGGAGGGGGAGGGAAGTGGTGGGGAGTGGAGGAGGGGGGAAAAGAAGGGGAGGGGAGGATAAAGGGTGGAAAGGGGTGGGAGGGAAAGGGGAGGGGAGGGGGTGGTGAAGGGGAGGGTGGAAGCGGAGGAATAGGGGGGAAGAGAGGCATGGCAGTTGGAGAGGGTGAGGTCACTGGTGGGGTAAAGCGGGGAGGAGTGGGGAGGTGAGGGAGTGGGGGGTGGGGGGTGGGAGGAGAAGGCAAAGGGTGAGAATGGGTGGGAAGCGGGGTACAGGGGGAGGGAATAGGAGGCATGGCAATTGGAGAAGGTGGGATGGCTGGTGGGACACGGGTGGGGGGAGGTGGGGAGTGGGAAGGAGGTGGAGGCGGAATGGGTGGGATAGAGGGGGGAAAGGGGCTCCTCTCCTCCCATCTCCTCTCACCTCAGTGCCACGGTGACCCCTTGAAAGAGCATGCAGCCACCCTTGCTCTTGCTCCGCCCATTCACCACCTGCAGCCGCGAGATGGTTACCAGAGAGCCGCTGCACGCTGCCCCCCCACGCTCCGGCACTGCCGCCGCCACCGCCGCTGCTGCTGTTACTGCTGCTGCTGTTGCTGCTGGTCCTGCTGCTGTAGCCGTTGCTACAGCCGTTGCCACAGCATCACCAGTGCCAGCAGCACCCGACGGGTCAGCAGCAGCCAAACGGGTAGGGGGGCCCGAAGCAGAGGAGGGAGGAGAAGCACCGGGGCAGAGTGCTTGGAAGCAGGGGCCATGGGAGCAGTCAATAGTGGCAGGGGGGAGGTGGAGTGGGGGCCCGAGGATGGAGAGGCGGAGGTGGGGCAGGAGGAGAGGCGCGGGGGAGGAGTGTTTATAGGTGCCTGATGCAACTTGGATGGTGGCCCCTTCTGACGCACTGTGAGGGTGGGGAGCGGGGGAGAGGGGAGGGTACGGGATTAGGGCACGCAGCAAATAGGGGCGGGAGGGGCGTGGGGGAGGAGTGCGTGTAGGTGCCTGGTGCGATATGGATGGTGGCGCCATCTGACACACTGTGAAGGGAGGGAGGGAGGGGGGAAGGGGGAGAGGGTGTGGGTATGGGAGCGGGACGTGGGTATAGGGATGCGCAGTCAAAGGCAGTTTAAGGTGAGTGTGTGTGGGTGGGTTGTTGGTGCGATATGGATGGTGGCTCCATCTGACGCACTGTGAGTGGGTGGGTGGGTGAGTGGGTGGGTGGGTGGGTGGGTGGGTGGGTGGGTGGGTGGGTGGGTGGGTGGGGACAGAAACAATGTGCTTCATCTGGAGAAAACTAGCAGCACAGTTGGGACATTGCATTGCCACATTGGGACTTAGAAAAAAAAAGGGTTGAATCAGCCTTTTCTGGACGGTTTGGTTCCAAAGGCTCCAAAGCAGTGGACGGAGGCATGCAGAGTAAAGGAAAATCATTCTAGGAAATGCAGGAGTCGTGTTTTGAGTCAACTCAACACACGACCGTTTGGTTCCAAAGGCTCCAAAGCAGTGGACAGAGGCATGCAGGGTAAAGGCGTCTCATTCAAGGAAATGCAGGAGAATGGTGCGGGAAATAATGGTGTTGAGAGTGAAAAGAGTTTCCAGAATGAGTGGAGTGGAGTGGGGTGGGGTGGAGTGGAGTGGAGAGGAGTGGAGTGGAGTGGAGTGGAGTGGAGTGGAGTGGAGTGGGAGTGGGGTGGAATGGGAAAACGATGGGGTAACTACCTGTTCAGGGCGGCTTGCAGGGAACCTGTGTGGTGGACGGGTCACGGAGGAGGGGGGGGTTGGAGGGATAAGATAACGAGAGGAGAGAGAGATGAGAAGAGAGAGGTTTGAGTTGCCAAGCGACAGGTGTGAAGGTTCTGAGAATGAAGGATCTGGATAGGGAGGTAGGAGGTAAAGGTGAAGTGAAAGCGAGACGAAAGCTGCTGCAAGCACTGATAGAAAGAAACTGGGAAGATCTTATCCTTTAAAATCTTCATGGTGAGACAACGAGTGCCGTGCCGGTCATTGCATTTGTGAGAGATTTTTGCGAATTCTAAAAAAACTCCCAGGAGGATGATTATAGCTCTTGAACAGACAGCCTTTCGGTGAGACAATGAGCATCAGTCGTTGCTTGGGAATAGGCTCACCGCACGGCTGCTGGGGGCTCTGGCCGCAGCAGGGTGTGAGGACGCCCCCCTCGGCCACATAGACAGTGGCTGTAGGCTTGGTACAGGTGGTACCTGGGGCAAGGGGGGTTCGGGAGGGGAAAGATGTGGGAAAGTTGGGGGCTCTGGCCGCAGCAGGGTGTGAGGACGCCCCCCTGGGCCACATAGACAGTGGTGGTGGGCGTGGTGCAGGTTGTACCTGAGGCAAGGGAGGGTCGAGTGGGGGAAGATGGGGAAGATGGCACGCTAAGTTGTGGCAACACGCTTTAAAGTCGACTCGCAACACACCTTTGAGTCGACTCGCAACACACCTTTGAATCGACTCGCAACACACCTTTGAATCGACTCGCAACACACCTTTGAATCGACTCGCAACACACCTTTGAGTCGACTCGCAACACACCTTTGAGTCGACTCGCAACACAATTACTACCACAACCACTGCTACTGGTACCATTTGTTAGAGTACCCAACTGACTAACCTGTCGCTCCTTGGCAAGACGCCAGACGCCGCTGCTGCTGATTTGACTTGTGAAAGCGCGCTTGTGAGTCGACTCACAACGCACTTGTGAGTCGCCTCAGAACACACTTGTTACTACCACCACTGACAGTGCCTGAAGGAATATATTAGAGAGCGTAGCGATAGCGAGAGAGTCTCTGCTATGGGAATGATGTTGCGCCAGCAACTTGGTAGAGTTTTGGTAGCGTTTGCCTCTAAGGACTTTGTGAGAATTGAAGTAGCATTTGGGCCAAGTAGAATTGCAATATCAATTATCAAACACACAAGCAAACACAAACATATATAGGCAAGCAAGAGTTGCACAATTGTTGCGTGGCGCTGTGAGTAACCCAACCCACACGAAAGTGCTGTGCAGGTGGGTGAACGCGCCCCGCACATTTCCAACCCAACTCGGCACCAGAATGTCTCACCGTGCACGCTACTCCTGCCAACACAGCAAGTGAGCAGCGTGCCTCACAAGCAAGGCACCTACGACCCCCAAGACTCATCATTCCTAGCACCGATTCCGCCGAGTTCGCTGCAGTAGCTCACAGTCACCCGTAGTCACTAATGACCGCCACCGAACTCGTGCGTCGGTGCCGAGTAGACTCAGTCGTTAGGCGCCGACCTGCCAAGTCAAAGGTCATCGAGGGCCCTTGCTGTCGTAGGGCCCTCTAACAGTGCCACCACTTGGAAGAAATAAAGTACCCCACCCACCGACTAACCTGTCGCTCCTTGGCACGACGCGAAGCGCCACTGCTGCTGAGTCAACAGCAGCAGGACCAAAAGGCCAATCAGCGCTCCGCATGATGGTACGCGCACACGCCAGGCCGTCATTGCGGGAAACGAACGGGCAGGAACAGTTCTCAAGGTCCCTGTGGCGGCACGCGCCACGCGCAGGAACAGCGCGTGCGCACCAATGGTAGGAAATCTAGGTGACTTCCGAGTCGACTCAGAAGATGGCTGGTTAGTACCAACGGTTTGGCAAACCGCGCACGAACAATTCCCGAGGTCCCTGCGGACGTGGCGAATGCGCCTGGCGCCAGCAGGAAACTCTGGGAGCTTCCGCTGATCAGACTGCTATAGTTCGCCACTTAAGAGCTTTGAGTTGCGACAATGCCGCCACGTCGGACGTTTGCTGCCAGCCTGTCACTTTGTCAGCGGGCGATGCCGCCAGCACGCAGCAGCACGTCGCGTCCTCCCTACTGCGGCATTTGGCGTTCATCCTCTAAACGCAGAAACGAACCACATTGTTCTGAGTCTCTCTAGGATTCTTATTTCTACTCCCTGACAGACAAACCAGCGGCGCAGGAAACGCGGCAGGTAACCTGACTGACACACACACTAGGCTAGGCTAGGAGGCGTTGGTTTGGAAGGCTGGATGAGTGGAGCCGAACTGACTGTGCGCTGGCGATGGTAACGTCGCTTTGCCGTTTCGGCGACAGCATGGAACTGAGTGAGGTTTTCGCCGAGAGCTAGTCGCTTCGCTAGCCATGCCACGTTGGGGAACGTGCGCAGCTGCGACGTGACACGCTGTCATTCGGCTTATTGACGAAATTCATTCGGGTAGCCAGGATCAAGGCGAATGTTGTAAAAAAATCGAAATAAAAGTGCCAGATGTGTACATAAATTAGAGCTTTTAATGAATCGACATTTCCTTACTTCGTGTCACCCTACATATCGCGTACAACATTGTACACGCCGCCCGCGACCATATCCATCCCATTAACACCTCACGATATTCGCATTGAACACTATTCGCGCCATCGCGCCCGAGCCATACGCCTCGGCTTGTAACACGCGGTCTGGCCCTACGCCTCGGACATTTCCCATCCTCGCGCTAGGCCCGTAGAGCAGCCCACATTTTTGCAAGTTGCCGCTACCCCTTGTTTCGCGATATAACATTCGCTCATGCATTCGCTCATGTTAATTGCACTCGTAACACTTTGTATCAAAAGTCGCGTTCCTTGGACCGCACACAGTTCGTTTTGCGACATTCAATATTTTGGAGGGGGTGGACTGTTGAAGGAAGTTGGCCCCGCCCTCGCATGGGCAAAACTGACTTCGTGGTCGGGTGTGCGGGAGGTGCAGCCGACCTTCTGCAGGTGTACAAGGGTTGCCTGTACACGAGGTGTACTAGGGAATCCATGCAAGAGTAACTGAAGCATCCGCGAGTGCAACGCAAGTGCCTCGAGCACAGGTGCAAGTGGCACAGCTGGTGCAGAGGTTCGCGGGTGTTCATCTGCGCAGGGTCGCGTCTGACCTTGCGCACCCTCGCGAATGCACAGGCGAATTTTGGCCAGAAATTCGAATGTGCCATGATTTCGACCAATCAGGAGCTGACATTTTGGAATGTCGACCGAGGTGGTCGACAGAGGTGGTCCACGAAGTTCGTCGACCCGCGACGACGAAGGTCGTCGACCCGCGACGACGAAGGTCGTCGACCCGCGACGACGAAGGTCGTCAACCGATGATGACGAAGGTCATCTTCCTGCAGGGTTGCCAGGGACTTTATCTGGTTGACCAAGTTACCTGCTCGCCGAGGTTCTGCGGAGGGTCGCGAACGTCGTCGAGGCTGTGGCGAAGTCGAACGACGTGGCAGCACGTGGTCGACGTGGCTCATCAGGTGCAACCGTCAGCATGTGGCTGACAACCTGCGCAATGTGTGCGACGGTGCACGTCGTGCATAACTGTCTACAAGCAACTGCGAAGTAGGTGCTTGCACATGCGCTTCCAATCACCTGCGGATGCAGTGCTGGCAAGCCGCGCGGATGCAGCATTGG